TATATAATGTACCGAGTGAATTATATAATCTATAAATTTAATCATTTATTTTAAGCTTTAATAAATGTATTCGTCATACTGTCGCAAAATACACGCTATACTAACGAACCGCGTTTTTCTTTTATCGCGGTCGCGTATCCTTTCCCACGATAATAGCTCGCGCATCTCCTATTTTATACAGATGTCCGTCAGAAAAGTGTTCGATTATCTGATTAGTGTTATTATAATAAAATTAAAATAAATCTATTTTATTTTAGTATTTTATATTATAAAATAAATTTATATTTATATATAAAACGAATACTATTTTTATCGCGAGCGCGTATCCTTCCGCGATAAGAGAGCGCCAACGCTTACTACGAAAGAAAGATAGCGCGAGAGCGAGAGGATATCGAAGAAGGAAAGAGAAGCGAAAAGAACGCTTCGTTTAATATATAGTATTTATTCATAAAGAATCACATTTATTCATAAAGAATCACATTTTACAAATGCGTAATACACGAAATATATAAGTATAAACAAAAATCAAATTTTATTAACGCGTGAAGTTACAGCTCGAAGAACGGCTGTGATTCGGGCTCGTAACCCTCTAATTGTACATTCGCTGGCGGTTCATTCTCGTCGCCCGTCGACGGTTCGGCCTCGTCCTCCATCGGCTGCGATTCGGGCTCCTCGTCGATTAATTGCGATTCGGGCTTCTCGTCGATCGGTCGCGATTCAGGCTCTTCGTCGATTGGCCGCGATTCGGGTTCCTCGCTGATTGGCTGTGGTTCGGGCTCCTCGCTGATTGGCCGCGATTCGGGCTCCTCGTCGATCGGTGACGCGATAACTCGCCTATTCTCGTGTTCGTGAAGCCTGTCGATTAATTCAGGGATGGCGAAGTCGCGATCGCGAAACTCAAATTGCTCGGGGGCTAGCGCGACATCGCGTTGGCGAGCGTCGCGCAACGCGCTGTGAACGTTTTGCGCCTGCGCGAGCATAGTCCTCGTCTTCGTAAATAAATCATAGAGCGATTCTCGCGCCGTTCTTATACAATCTTCTATCTGTTGTCTAAAGTAAAAAAGTAAAAGGATTATTACAAATTATAATTTATTATAAAAAAGTATTATAAAAATTTTAATCGAATACTTACATTGAACGCGCGATATCGATGTCTCCATCCAGCTGAAAGTTCAGTCTGAGCAAATCCGGACTGTTCTCGATAATGCCTCGCGCCTCCTCGCGCAAATCCGAGGCGAGATCTCCCAAAACGTAAGACTTTATTGTAATTAAATCACCGTTCACATTAATATAATCGGCCGCGTTAATTATCTGCTCGATTCGTTCCATATCGAGTAGTTCGCGACTGATTTTAATTCTCGTTATTTCACACCTCGCCACTTTGCTCTTATACCGTTTCGCGCTTCGTCGACTAGTCACTTTACTATTTCGCGAGCGAGAATACTTTGACGCTTCTCGAAACGATCTCGCGTTTATAAAGATCGACGCGCGGATGCCGCGGTACGAGCGGAGATAAACAAGTAATAAAAATAGATATAGAGGAAAATATATAACAAAAAATAATGTGATAAGAGGGACTCCAGCGCCTGCTAAATAACGCGCATACCGGATACGCGATCAATGTTTATCGTCGCCGGAAAGGGTACGTTTCTCTAATCGCTCGTCAAGTGTTCTTCTTAGAAGATAAACGAATAATAAAAATAGAAATAATAAAAAAGTAAAACCGCGAGAGGAACTCGAGCGTCCGCTAGATAACGCGCATCCCAGACGCTCGGCCGATATTCGCTCATCATCGAAAGGTCGCGTCCCTCTAATCGGGGCGAACTGCGACTCTTTTTCGAACGAATCGCGTTTTCTCTTCCCCCACCCGCGTCAAATTCGTCAACGATATCGCAGGAATATAGGCAGTCCCGGGGGAGCCCTAGCTCACGCGTTCTT